TGATTTGTTCTAATGGTGTTTGTAAATAGGATCACAAGTCCGCATCTTGTACAGCAATTAACCACTAAGAAGAATATATGCAGTGTATTATTTGTTGAAAAAAAAAAAAAAAAAAGAACTAATGTCAGAACTTACTAGGGGACAGGGGGCATGTATAGCAAAAGAATGCAGTGGTAGGGCACTTGCCTCGCATGTGCAAGGCCCTGAGTCAGATCCCCAGCACCTCAAGGGAGATTTTCTAAGCAAGACCAAAGATACTGCAAATACCAGTTGATTACAATTTTAAACTACAGCTCATGAAATGTTGTGTTTATTATTTGGTTCGGTTTTTTTGCCCTTTTCAAGGCCTTTGCTCTGAGCTATTATCTCCCTTACCTCATTTTTTGAGACAGGTCTCACTAAACTGCTCAAACTGGGTTCAAACTTTGCAATCCTCCTGCTTTAGCTTCCCAGAATGCCAGGATCACAGTTGTGTACCATCACATCCAGGTTTCTCTTCAGTTTCTAATGCTCATTTTTCATTCTTAGTGTTTAGTTCTCTCTTCCTGCCTGATCACCTCTTTATACATGTAATTCTTCAGAGTAAAGTCAATCTTCTCAGTATTATCAACTTGCCACGTATATTTCATTCTCATTTATGAATCTATTCATCTGATACAGGGTCTCACTACACAGTTCACTCATAATGATCCCCCTGTCAGCCTCCCCAGTGCTGGTATTACTGGCATGCGCCACCATGCCCCATTTTGGGGTCATCCCAGTACCAGGGATCAAACTCAGGTCCTTACACTTGTCAGGCAGATACTTAGATCACAGATATCTCCCCAGCCTATAAATTTCTTTATATCAGAATCTCACAAACAGTCGAACCTTGAATTATCTACTGACTGTACAAATATTCAAGTAAAATGGGTAAGCCACACATTTAACAACTCAATGTAATTTCAGTTGTTTTAAAGAATAACACAGTTTAAGTACCTGCTTAAACATAGCAGTTAGGCTCTGGATGCTGTGGGTTGATCCCCAGAACTCATACCAAACCAGACCTGCCCTGAAGACATTCTGAGGCCATAAATAAATAAATAAATAAATAAATAACGCAAACCACAGAAACTCCCACATAACATGGAACTTTTATTTTAACGTGATCTCTGTACATCAGGAACATGAGAAGATACCTTTTGCAAATGGAACCGATATTTAGGAGAAACAAAGGACAAAACCAAACCAGTATCTGATGTGAATCCATGAGTCTATGCTTCAAATCCAGCTAGGAAGTTTGTGACAATCTCTTTCAGTTTTGCATCTGACTGTTCTGAGATCTTCCCATCAGCCCTATTTGAAAAGAAAAGCAGGTCATCAATTTTAACCTAGACTACCCTTACAGAATTTAAAAAGATTAAAACTCTGTATCTTAAAATTCAGCTGCTTACACAGAGAGGACATCAACTACACTCATACCTGATGTTGCCCAACAGAGCCTGGTGTTGGCTGACAACATGGGATAAGAAAGCCTGCTCAAATTTTGTGATCTTGCTAGGCTCCAGCTTATCAAGATAGCCCCTTACACCGGCATAGATAACAGCCACTTGTTCCTCAATAGCCATGGGAGCTGAAAACAAACAAAAGAATTTCAAACAAGTTGCTCAAATGCTGTGTTTCCAAAGTCAGAAAAAATACTCCAATTACTGACATGATCCTATCTATCTCCTACTTTCCCATTTTCAGCAAACCTGTAACTCCATTTAGTAGTCCTTGCTCACAGACACATCCTGGGAATAACCCACAAGCACTACTTATAATCTGCCTGTGTTTGTAAGAGGACTTTCACTCAAAACACTGGCAAAATAAAGCCACATCAACATTTTTATAGATCTGCTAAATTCTAGTCATACAGCCAATGGAGCAGGGAAATCTAATCGGTCTTAATTCCTAAAATCACATTAAAACACTTAGTAAGCTTTTCTAATTATGAACATCTACAGCAGTTACATTCAAATGGTTATGTAAAATAAAGGTTAAGACATTTTCATAAAGGAGCGTGTTATGTGATGCAGCTCTGTAGACTTGGCAAAAAGGAACATACAATAGGTACTACACCAGATAAAGGAAAACTTACAATACTGTCCTTGTTTTAGCAACTCAGTCAAACGCACACCACGACTCAAAAGTTGCTGAGTGGCAGCATCAAGATCAGAACCAAACTGGGCAAAAGCAGCAACCTCACGATACTGAGCCAACTCCAGCTTCATGGTACCTGCCACCTAAAATACATGAAGTTACTGGTACCATATCTCAATGACACAAAGCGCTATATAATTGATATTAAGATTTTAAATTAGTAATATCACCCCATGTTTTAGTTTAGATCTAAAATGCTTTGCAGAGCCTCACATGTTCTCTATTAAGTGACTGGATCTACAGCTGACTTGCTGATGGAGAGGTAGAGGTGGTCAAAGGCAAGTCACTGGGGGCCCAATCTGGAAGGAAGAGTATTTTGCCTCCCTCCCTAGTTCAGCTCCTCTCTCTGCATCCTGGCTGCCACGGTTGAGCACCTCTTACAGTCAGGATCCTCTGTCATCCTGTTGCTGCCTTGCAGCAGCCAACCAACCATGTGTCACAATAAATCCTTAAGTTGTGATTGTGAGGTACTCTGTCCCAGCAGCAGGAAAGTGACTAAGACCCCCATTCTACCAAACTTGTGAAATTACCTGCTTCATAGCCCTGGTTTGGGCAGCAGATCCAACACGGGACACAGATAAACCAACATTAATGGCAGGGCGAATACCTTTGTAGAACAATTCTGTTTCCAAGAAGATCTACATATGTAAGAATACACAGGAAAGAAGGATTTCAAATTGGAATCACCATGCCAAAACTAAAACTCAGATCTTGAGGATGAATGCTAGTATCATCCCATGATATTGCACCCTCATACTCCTATGCTGAGAGACTGAGGCAGGAGGATGAGTGCAAGGCCAGGCTGTGCTATACACAGAAGGAGCCTGTCTCAAAAAAAAAAAAAAAAAAAAA